TAACAACTCTGAGCTATTAGTTAAGTTCTCCCCAAACGAGCTTGATGGGCCGAATGGCCTCCTCTCGTTTGTAAATTTCTTATGTTCTTATGGTGCTTTTCTACTAAATTTTGACTATACGAGTGAGGCATGCCGACTGGGACTGAGCATGGGAGACGATTACCCACAATTCCGCAGCGTGAGAAAGTGAATAACCATTGGTTCAGTTGTGATGACATGCGCTCAGCGTCAAAACAAGAAGCGCACGCATGCGCTTCCTGTTTTGAAGCCGAGCGCACGTAAAACCAAAGAAAAACAAGGAGCGCATGTGTGCCATATCATTTTTGATGATACTTTCGTAAACCAGGACTTGCTCGGTTTCCAAGTCAAAATTTATTAAAAATCTTTGCTCGTCTTGCGGAACTCGTAATCCGAGGTTCCACTGTACATTTAAAAATAAAGATTTATAAATTATTTTTATATTAATAATAAACCATTAATACGTTTAATTATAATTATATTGTCAGGCTGACTGGGGACGGAACGGAGACAAAGGCGCAGATGTCAGGGTATCGGGGAATACGGAGTTTAATTACAGGTAAGGCAGGCAAAACGCAGATGGGCAATACAATTACCGGACTGGGGAAACAAACTGAAACATGGACTACATGCAGAGGACTAATGACAACAACCAGAAACAGCTGATGACTCAAGGATTCCACACAGGGTTATCGAGGGGGCATGGCACACGGAAGGAGCAGGACACATTGTTTTTTTTTTTAACTTTACACATTGTTTGGATACATTTATTTTCTTACTTTACAAATTACTGTTTTGATAAATGTGCTTAGATGTGTTTAGCACAGTATATGCTCTTCTTCTTTTATCCGGTTCATTTTGTGTTTAAATGCTAAAAAAAACATATTTAGGTGTAATTTTTTTGGGGCCGGGAACCAATTCATTGGTTTTCCATTATTTCTTATGGAGAAGATTTGATCACAACTCAAACTTTTTAGGATTCGATCCAGAGTTCTGAACGGATTAAATTCAAGTTCTGAGGTACCACTGTATTTTGTTACATTGGCGCAGTAATAGCTTTCTTCTGACAACTTGACCATGCAGCCCATTTTTCTTCAAGTGCCTCCTTATTGTGCATCTTGAAACATCCACACCACTTTTCTGTAGAGAAGCCTTGATGTCTGCTGAAGTTATTTGTGGCTTTTTCTTTGCATCCCGAGCATTTCTCCTGGCAGTTCTGGCTGAAATTTATGTTCGCCTACCTGACCGTGGCTTAGCCTCAACAGAACACACACACACACAAGTTTGTTTGTCTGAAAAGGAGAGTGATTAACCACATATAACCATTCAAAACAGGGAAGATAAAGTCACTATAAAGTCACTTGTTCATCAGTTTTACTTGTTGATTTGTACGCAAGAAATAAGAATGCTGTAAGTGAAAAAGCCAAGAGGTGTAAATAAATATCGACCTCGTAGATTTTCTATACTGCAAATAATAACAAAGTTTTTTGTTGTTTTAAATTGTGCAAAAGGAACATATCAGTGTAATCATGGAATTTAGTCTTTTGGGAAATACAAGGATTAGATTTTCCACCTGCCCATTTATGCAGTAGCCCCATATTTTAAAAATATTTTTAAATAAAAATATTAAAAAATACAATGCTGTGTCCAATTTTCAAGCAATATGAGATGTGATTAGTATTATGTATATTAATATTTTCTAACAGTGCAGTTGTGAGCTTGAGTTAGTATTTCATGGGCTTGTTAAAGCTAAAGCACTTCTGCAGCTCAAAACTCAAAAGACAAATGCGCTAATGCCACAGAGCTCATGGATTCCAATCTCAGGGAGCACACAAGTTGTATCCCTTCCCTTTACTGTAAGTTTTTGGATAAAAGCATCAGTTAAATTTAAATGAGTGATATGTTCAGTATTGTGCAAAAGTCTTAGGAAGTAAAGAAGATGATGTCCAAATGCACTTCATGTTGGTGTAAAGCTGTGATACTATTTATGCAAAAATGTATCAGCCATTTCAGAACCGCTCCGAAAGTCACCCCAGTATTTGCAGCCACCGTCCAATACATCCATGTATTTGGTAACTAAATGAATTAAGTGAGTTGGTTGTGAAATGTAAAAATTAATGGAATGGCTGAGGTGCCTCTGAGGATAGGTTTGGGAACCAGAGTGGTGTTTGTTACAAATCCTTGGTCTTGGGGTTTGGGATATAACAGAATAAGTGTGTGAGTGTGGGTGAAAAACACTTTTTTTTTACATTCTTGTTTCTTTCTCTGTCAATCCTAGCTGTTGATGACCAGAATGCTCAGACACAGCAACAAGTTTTTTCTCTGGCAACAGAGGAGGAGGATGAAGATGATGAGCGTAATTCCCTTCAGTCTACTTACAGTGGGAGCACATCCCAAAGCATTAAGGCACGTCCCTCTGGAAGAGGTTAGTACTACCTATTATCAAGACATGAGATCAGCTATGACTTCATATATATAGTGTTTAAATATAAGGTATATTGTTATATAAGTTAAAATGTATAGTTGCATGCCATTTTGATTTCCCTAATAAAAATACATAACAACACAGTTTAAATGAAGCATGGTTAGATAAACTAAAAAAGCTGCATATATATTTTTAATGATCAAAATCAGTAGCTTTTGCTGAGCTAACATGTTTATTAGTTTTGTCCTAAGAACTGGTCTTTATAAGGGATATCTTAGTGGAAATTCAATGGCCATATTTCTTGCTTAATGTCTGTATTTACTGGAATTGAGATACTGATTGAGGGTACTGATTGTGTCAAGTTTTTCTGCTGGTGTTATGTTTGTAATTCATTCTCTCTGTTTTGAATACATCAGGTCATCATGTTTGTTTTTAGTGTTTTTTTCTTTATATTGTCTTGTTAATCACCATGTGAAAAGCAAATCAGCAAAGGAAACCTTTCCTTGGGCATCTTGGGCTCACTGCAAACCAAAAACTGGGATAATATGCCAATGTTCAATACCAAGATCTTGTATCCAAGTAAAGCTCGTGTGTGAGTGATACACATCCATGCATGTTCAGCAAGCACTGTTATATTCCACTTCAGTGTTTAGTGTGGGTGCTGGGTGCATGATCAGAATGTCTGATATGGACTCCAAGCCTGGATGTCTGATATTCCTTCCTTGGAGGAAGTAGAGCTGGAAGACTGAGAGGGGGACTTACCCATCTCTAGGGCTGAAGTTAACGAGGTAATCATAAAACTCCTCATTGGCAAGGCTTCGGGGATGGATAAATATTCACCCTGAGTTCTTGAAAGCTCTCGATGTTGGGCTATTTTGGCTAACACTCCACTTCAACATACTGTGGACACTGGTGACAGTGCCTTTGGTTTGGCAGACTGAGGTGGTGGTCACAATCTTTAAGGAAGGGATGTTTTTCAACTTTAGGGGATCACCCTCCATAGGAAGGTCTATGGCAGGGTACTAGACGGGAGGGTACGCCTGTTGGTCGAACCTCAGATCCAGGAGGAACAATTCAGATTCCATCCTGGTCGCAGAACACTGGACCAGCTCTTTACCCTCACAAGGATACTGATGGGTTCATGGGAGTTTGCTTAACCAGTCTACATTGTGTTTCTGGACTTGGAAAATGCATACAATCAGGTCTGGGCATCTCTGCTTAGACTGCTGCCCACGCCACCTGACCCCAGATAAGCAACAGAAAATGGATTTATGGATGGATGGGCCTGAATGCCTGTGTATGCTAGTGCTGGCTTTCCTTTTCTTTATTTTGTATTACTCCCTCTTAATGGTGATGTAATGCAGCACAGCACACCCATGTAAAGCAGCTTTGGGAGTGACTCTGTTGTGAAAGGAAACATGTAAAAGTAAATTGAATAGACACTTTAAATCAGTTGTCACAACTGTACATTGATCTGGGTGTTTTTAGATATAAACCGGTTGAGTGATAGGTCGTAATATCTGGG